AGATGTCGATAATACATACTGATTAGCTATTTTTTATCACGCTTTTCTTTTCAAAAAACTTCAACTGATAAATTAAATAACTTATTTAGTCTAACCTCTAAAAGTTTCAATAAGATAAAATTGATGCAACATGCTTCGATTTACTCAGAATTAAATTTTTTATCATCCAACGTTCCATGATCATTGAAAACAAAGCAAAACAAAAGAAGAAATAAAGAATATTATTTAATAACAATGTATAATTAGTTATTGCGTATAAACTTCTTTTTTCATAGAATAGTAAAAAGGTCTTTTTTGTATTTTTGTGAAAATAGTAGAAAGATAAGGAAAAATGCAATGTAAGAACTGATAAGAAAAACCCATGAAGTTTCAGTTTCATTCAAAAGGAAATAAAAAAACAGAAGAATTCGAAACAATTTTGAAGTTCTAAGAATTTCGATCATAGAAAAACAAACGAATCAATATACTTAACCGTCTACACTTTTCTGGACGATATTCATTGTTCAATGAGTTCATACATCAATTTTTGAATTTGAACATATCTTATTTTATTTTTGAAACAAACACTATTCAAACGACCGACATACAACAATGAAAATGAAATCATTTAGAATTATCATAGTCAAATCCTTCGTGCATTTTTACTTCATTTCATGACAATCATACTATTGCACCAACATTCTTCTATTTCATTCTTTAATTTTTTTCTTTTTTGTCTCACATTAAATATTTAACTGATAGGCACTTCGTCTACATATGAATAAATAAAACTAATCAGTTGTGAATTTTTCTTCCAAAAAACAGCAGAATCATCTTCACCAATCGTATATGAAGTCATCATTCCAATGTATTCAACCATTATTCTTCTCTCTCATCAATTAAATTAATTAATTCTATGTATAGTTGAATCACTCGTGCTCTTCCAAATGTAACCATAATTCAACTATAGAAATAAATAAATCCTTCAATGGAAGGACACTCTTTTGTCTTTTCTTCAGTCAATGAATTATTATTACCTACGCATAGAAAGAATAATTTATTGTATGAAATAACGATTTCTCTTTATTTTTTTCTGTTTTCTGTCAGCCTATCCGATGGCTTCATATCCGGCACCGAGAAACTCTCTTTATTGAACACAGGTAATACTGTGAATATCTTTTATTTGTAATACATGTCCATCACTTGGATATGTATTGGTTACCTTACCAGTGATCATAGTTGCCTTATGTTCTCAATAGGATAGTTTCTCTGCACGCGCACGTGTCTCTTCATAAAAACAAAACAATAATACTCTTTTCTCTTCATTATATTTATTTCTTCGAACAAAACGAAAAACCAATTACGTTTTCTCTTTTACATATTCAAGGCTATCTCTACATAATTAAATATGTGGATGATTTGGAGTTAGTGAATGGTCTACTATACTAAGAACCCATTAAAAAAGTAGAAGTGTCTTTGAATAGGCGCCCATCTTGAAATACATCAAATCAATGTTGTTGTGTAAGAATCAGTCAAATTGGTCTCCATTGGAGAAAGAATCTTCTGTTTGATTTCAATATATTGTTGATAATATGGAATAACATCTGAATATTCACCTTAACCATGCCGAACATATGATGAATTGATGATTTTTCACAATCAGTCGTTTGATCCAGTACGATATCATATAAGCCTTGGGCTTCGTTGAACTCTTCAAGTTTAAGTAGTAACATATCCAAACAGTTCCGTTCATCCGCATCAGAATAGGTTTCTTTCCACATATATTCGGGAAAGGCATGAAATTCTGGATCGTTGTCAGTAGTCAACGTTGAATCTATTGCCCAAAGACGATTATTTCCTTCGATTTGTTTCATCGTTTCGATGCCTAGAATATCATGCATCGAAAAGAGAACGTCTCTTTTTTCTTTGAAATAGCTGACGTCATGTACGTAGATAAGTTAGTAGCAGATTGGAGGTTTTTTGGAAAGTCTTCGCCTACAGACTTGTGCCAAAAAAAGACTCGTTGCGTCAGACAGAGCAGCAAGTACACTTTAGAATACATAACTTTGAAAAGATTTTTATCGTGAGAAACAGTTAGACAATTCGAAAAAAACCTACTTTTAAAACATTGTTTTTATTGAAAGATGCAGTATTTTGGTCTAATATTCATTTTCAAAATTTGTGCTAGCTAGGACAACATTTATTTCAGATAGAACTCGATGAGGTCTATCAATTGGTGTTAGATTCAACCGTGTTCCTGGTCAAGATGCATCAGGATCTGACCAATACTCGTACGATAGGGTTGGGGTTCATGCTATGGTCGAATATTCTTTTTAAGAGTAGTGACACTTCAAAAAATGGTTATGTCATAGTCCATCCTACTGATTGACAGCATCTGTCTGTATTTGCTTGGGAGTGGGGGAGGAGTATCTTGAGATTTTTTCACTTTTTCTGGACATAATATGCTTCCCAATGCGTCTCATAACTTGATGTGAGTCATTGAGTAATTGCTGTAGAAGCGAGTTGTGTATTGAGTATCAGAAGATGCTATATTCGTTGGAAGTTGTCGAAGCGACTCGAAAACTTTTGCGGAGAGCACTTAGTTAAGCAATTGTACATTTTGCCAGTTGCACAGTCATTGGCAAAGTATCACTGCCATAACTCACGATTGTGATATTTGCAATTGTGGTGTGTGCCTTTTAAAGAGTATCCTAGTATGATGCATCCGATTGTTTGTGTGTGGATGTATATATCTACGAGTACATGATCTTATATGCAAGTCTTTATTTCGCTTTCTTTCTTTCTCTTCTCTTTTTTCTTTAATTTATGGATTCTCCATTTCATTTTCCTGTAAGTATCTACGCCAATAGTTTTCTTCATCCGTGAAAATGATTGAAATTCTAACATTCTTTCTGGTCTAATTTTTCTGTCGTATTGTATCTTTAAAAACAAGATCCATGATATGATCTTCTCTTTCTCTTGTCTCGTTCTTCTCTTTATATTTCTGCACTTGAATTTGTTTCCATTTTCCATGCATTTAATATTAAAAAGGACAGATTTTCAGTAAATAACTTCTGTAATTTATTTGACAATGAATTCTCAATGATTTAACCCAAGTGCTAGAGATTAACCTCTCTAGCAACTTCAATATCGTTTTTCCAGCATTAAATGCTCCAGAAACGATTTTCGTCATTTTTCCATGGGTTCCTTTTTCTTTTTTTTTTTTTTTACAAAATTACGTTTTCGTGTACTGGTGAATTTGCGACATTTTGCTCTACATCGCCGATGGTCACGCGAATTCCTGTCGTTTTAGTTCGTCGATGCTCTCACCAAGTTCTCGTTATGCTCGGCGGCATCACTCTGAAGTTCCCACTTACAATCGTTGGTGATTCTATCAATTATCTGTTTTCGGCTCAGCAGTGCTCCTGCCAAGCTCCTTTTTTTCGGTTAGCTACGTGCCCACCACTTAGAGTGTCAATATAATGAGACTTCCATCGTTGCCCTTCATTTTCCCAACATCAATTACTACTAAAAAATGACTCAACACTCGGTATTTTCAAGGTAATCTTGATTTTTTTTACTTCATAATGGAATCATAATGAAATTATGCATTCAACCAACTCATTTGAACACTGAATAAGAATCCATGTACAAATCGGGACATTAGTTACCATCAAAAAAGATAGCCGAATCCTGATGCTGTTGAAGAATCGCCATGTAGACGTCCGTTCCAGTTGACAATAGGATAGAAATCGATATCTATCAATAGATCCCATCAATTTCTATGTGGCACAAAGGTTTTCTTCACTGGTACAACTCTTAAAATGAATATTTGAGTATAATATGGGCTCAAAACACATTTAGAATAACGTTTTTCTCACGTAGAGACCAAGCTTGATTATGGATATACATTAATCTAATACCACTTGATATATCTCATGAACTTCTATTTGGCAGAAATATTGTCCTAACTAGTACAACTCTTGAAAACGAATATTGGACCGAAATGCTGCATTTTTCAATAAAAACAATATTTTAAAAGTAGTTTTTTGAATTTCCGAACTGTTTCTTATGATAAAAATCTTTTCAAAATTATGCATTCTAAAGTATATCCAATGCTCTATTTGACAGAAAGAAATATATTTTTTTTTGGCACAAGTCTGTAGGCGAAGACTTTCTCAAAACACTCCAATCTGCTTCTAAGTTTACCTACGTACAACAACTGGCGCATACAACAGAAGAAGCAGCATTAATAAAATTAAAAAATCTTACTCATCAATAGCAATCACAACAACAATTACATAATCGTTTTACCAGTCGTCTCATTAATAATATACAACAACAATCATTACGTCATGGTATATTAGTCTAAAAATTATTCGATAAGATTGAGCAATAATGTTATGATACGAGAGCTATAGATGATTGCTGTTTTTGCCATCTTCCATTTATTTCTGCCACGTTTCTTCTCTTCATTCTGTTCTGCTCTTTCTTTCTCTTTGCTTTGATGATATGCGTGTGTTGTTATACATCATCAGATATAATTTTGAAAATAAGGAAACAGTTGTATTTTTCTCTTAACCTGCCCATTTGATCTACATTGCCTAAAGAAGAACGTAACAAATATATAAGTTTTGTATTAGTAATACATTGTGGTGTCTTCCATATGTCATTGAAAATAACGGTGGATGACAACCATCAGGTCCAGTGGTTTACTCTTTTTATGCTGAGTTTCTATTAATTTTTCTATTCAACTCGTATTCTCTCTTTTAAAAACATTGATTTTACTTCAAAGAAAAGATAGTTTTTAGATATTATTGCTGAAAAACTTTAAAAACATTGATAATAAAATTTTCTTCTTTTCTATAATAAATAAAAATACGTATGTTAAAGAAACTTTTCATTAATATATAACGATATTTTAGCATATCGCACACACAAACAAACAAGAAAAGGAAATTAATACTGATCTGAACTAGAATTAACATACTAGATATACACATACTGCTCATGCCAAACTTTTAAAAAGGACATTCATGTATAGGTTGTAATTGACGTATAACTGTCTGAGATTTCTCTAGTTTTAGTGGCTCATCAATAAATGAAGATGTTCGTTTTGTTGTTTGATCTGGTATTGAACTTAAATAGAATGCTGTCATTAATTTGGTCGTTTTTTGAGGTGTTGATGATGTTGGCATTGATGAAGTTTGTCGATCATCATTAGAAGATAAACAGACAATATAATCATTCGTGGTATTTGACAAATGATCATATTCAGTATGAAGAAGAGTTACTGGATTATTTGTATTATTAGTTGTTTTTAAACATTTTTCAACCCATTGATCAACTTGCTCATTAATTGATTGTCGTTCATCTTTAATCTCTTCTTCCGCAGCATCGTCATTATTTCCATCTTCTAAATTAATAACTTCTTCCGGATAAGCATGTGGTGAAAGAACATATTCATCATCATCATCATCATCATCGCCATTATTCAGATCTAAATTTTTAATTAATCGAATTTCATTTTCAATTTCTTCAATATGTTTCAATATGGCACGTGAATTTGTTTTTGTTAATGTTGGTGAAAATAAAATCGGTGGTGGTGATGGTAATTTGATATTTGTTTCATCTAATGGAAGTATAAATGGATTCTTTCGTGGTGATATCGCTGTTGGTGATACTAGCTTAGTTGAAGGTTGTTTATCTTTCCTTTGTTTATATGATCGTTCATTTTCAAGTATTTCTTCAAATTCAAGTGAAAAACGATCATCAATCGAGCGAGATGATGAACTACATGAATGATGTTCGTGACTCATTCGATCAATAGGCATTTTAACAGAAGTAATTTTCGTAGTATTTGATGGTCGTTGGTAACGATGATGACTAGTGAATGTTGATGATATTTGAGGAGCTGAAATGTTGAAATAAATAAATAAATAAATTTTCTCAATAGTTTCTTTTTGTTAGTTTACCTTGTGTTCGTCGTGTTAAACTTCCACTATCCGAGGTGATTGCCTGTGGAGAAAAATATTGTTCTGTATTAGTATTATGTAGTGGACTTCTTTGTATAACTAATGGTGATGATGTTATTGAGAGTTTTTTAAGTTTCTTTTGACGATAATGTTGTTTATCATTTAATAATATGCCTTTACCACTTGTATTATTTGCTGACGATGAATTTGACGGAGGTGGTGAAGAAGAAGATGAAGAAGCAGATGATGAGGATGATGATGATGATGATGAATCAATAACTCTTGAACTCGATAGAGAGAATCCATGTCCACTATCACTTTGATGTAGAATAACACTAGATGTTGGTGCTGGTGCTGGTGCTAGTGCTGGTGGCGGAGGTGATGGTGAATTTGTTAGATTAATATTTCCATTTGATGTTGTTTGTGGAAATGATTCTGAATGTATTAACCCAGCAGATGATGTACCAAATGTTGGATCATAAATACCATATTCAGGTTGTGCTAAGGGTGGTGCTAAAGATGGTACTAGTGGTGATGTACAATGATGAAATACATTTGATGGCTCAATAAAAATTGATGATCGATTATTTATTGAAGTGTTCCCAATCCAAGGATTGGTGCGAATTTTTGAACGCTGTTTTTTAGATAAACTCATTGTCGTTGTCCATAATGAACTATTACTTGATGAAATGATACTTGGGTTTGGTGTTGAATATTGTGATGAGATGAGATGTGTTGGATGATGTGGTTGTTGTTCTTGATGATGATGATGATGGTGATGATGTGGACATTCACGACGTGGACTACATGTTGCTAATGTACTCGAATAATTACGGTTTAACAATGATGCTTGTTGTTCTAATGATAATTTAGGTGGAAGTGGAGGTGGTAGTGGAGGTGGAATTGCAGGCGATGGTTGATGTGAGGTACAGCATTGCGAACACGAAGATAATGTATTATCATATGATGATCTTGTTCCAACTATTGTATTGACTAATTCAGCATGACGAGCTAGCAATATTTGAGTACGACTATGTTGATCATCAGTAACAATACCATTAATATCTTCATATCCACAAATATCGTAATGACAATCGGCTGATGCTGTTAATTCTTGATGATTTTTTGTATGAACTGGTTTAGGATTTGATTTTGAAGGTAATGTTGTACTTTTACGTTTGGATACAAGAGAACTTAAATAATCTTTAAATTTCATCTGCGTAAATAATCAAATCTAAAATAAACTTAAATATACATATTATTATATATATATATTAGAGAAATATGCGCGTTTTACCATAACAAAAGTACGCAAGTGTTGAATCATAATTACATTGTAGAGTATTCGGTAATCTCTTTTCTTTCTGCGTTCTTATTATACTCATTACTCACTCTTGCCCCGTTCAATGTACGGTTCGTTTAATCTTTCTTCATTTGCTGCAATTGAGAAAGAAAGTAGTATGCCATTCTATATAAGATGATAAAAAAGAGACGGAATGGTTATTTTATTTTGTAATCATATCCTTCTTTCTTCTTCTTTATCGTATCCTCATCCCAATTCGTCCCAATGTGCTTGTATAAACACAGTATGCATTTGCCTACAGCTCTCATTTTTACGAGCGACAGATGTGTAACTTGCGTGAACCAAAGGCACGGTTGGGTTACTCCTACGTATGGAAGCCAAGTTATTATTCCACCAGTCAATATTCATCATCATTGAGACAGTACAAGGTTCCTACTCCTTTTACATGCGAATTTCTTATTATTATTACATACAAGTGGAGTATTGAACTTGCTCATGTATATACTGACAATTAAATAAGAATATCACTATTCCCTTAGGGTATAGTATTACTACTGTCTTCCATCAATATGTTGTTCGCTGACCGAGAGATTGATATAGACAGACAAGCAGACACACATAGTAGCCACTAACGGACTCGATTAAATGTTCAATATATAGAATACATTATATTCTCAATAGACAAAAATAATGAATTATGCGACTCAGTATATTAGATTAAGATATGCAATCTTATATCAGATTTCTTATATAAAAATGTTGTAGATTGCCGAAAAGAACCTTTCAAAAATATGATTAATGTATACATATTGTCGACAGTAATGCAGTATACCTTTCATTTGTCTGATCTTAACATATAATTGGAACAAAGAAGACTTTAAGAAATAAGAAAAATTTTCTTTTCATGATCCGGAAACGTATTTCTCTCTTGTTCTTTCTCAAGGGACGAAAATGTCCTTGACATGAGCCGAAGAAGACGGCAACACCAAAAAGAAGAAGAACAACAGCAAATATACTTCTCGCTTAATTGAAAAGATCCGATAAAGAGAGAGAGTGGGACGGGGGGGGGGGGGAGAAAGACAAATGGATGCATGCAATAATCATGTCAAAAATAGCAAAACAACTTAAAAAAGAAGCGTAGCGAGAGGAAGTTTTGATTGACTGTAACTGAATAAATACATAACGACGGCAAGAACGAATAAAGCATTCATGCAAGCCGGTGACAATCAAAATACTTGCACTTTGTTTTTGTCACATGTTGCAATTTGTGCGCACGATAATATACAAAGTTGGACAGGAGAGAGAGAGAGGGAAGGGAGGAGTAGGGCAAATAGCGAGCGCCATGTATGATGAGAGGTGTCATTGTTGATTTAAATCAAACTTTACGGTGTATATTTGTTGTTGTCATTAAATTACAACTAAAACAGGTTAATCGAATAACAAGAAGAAGACGAACGAGAAAAAAGAAAGAAACATTATTTCAATGAGATGAAATTTCTTTCTCAAAGTATCATTTATATCCTACCGGAATAGCTTCACCTGTGCAATAAGATAATTAAAATGGCAAGAAAAAAAAATAGACACACTGAAATACATAACTTGATCTGTTCTTTCCTTTTTTTTTCTGAACAACAATCGATTTATTATAGTGCATTATAGATCATAATATGTACAAGCTGGACATCATAACTAGATCGCGTATGTTTATACAACTTTCTATAAATGGTAAGAAATAGAAGAGTTTGTTAGATGTATATGTAGTTAGTTGTATGAGAACGGATGTTTTATGTTTGTTTTACGTGCTCTATACCATACGTAATATAATCTGTCATATGTGTTCAATGAAGAAGACAAGGAATATAGGGTGATGGGTGTACTACTATTTCTAGGGATGTGAGTATTTTTTAAGCATAAATCAGCTTATCGCGTTTAGTCGGGCGAGAAAATGCAAGGAACAGAGAGAGCATTAGTAACAGTCGATTAACTCACTTTCTTCTTGGTCTTTATGAGATGCTTTTAACAATACATCTTTTATATGCATCAATATACCATGTCGAAACAAAGTGGGGCTGCAACGAGCGTTTTTTTTTCTTTGATTACATACCCACAAAAAAATCTTTGCTTCGTCTGTTTTTTTCCTCTTTTCTTCACGTAGAGTATACGATGAGAATGAGTCACCTATATTTTGTGGCATTAGAGATTCTCGTCTTTTTTTTTTTTTTTCTTTCTTCATTTCTTTTACAGATCGTTCAGTGATTTCTTTTTTCCTCTTCTCAATCCTTCGTCTCATTTATATGTTATGGTATGGTAGCATTTCCTCTTCGTTCTTCTATGGTTTCTTTGCCATGATGTGGCGTCAGTCGAACCAAGGCAGAAACAATTTGTTGTCGTGCGTCATAGAAAGGACATTAATATGTGTGGAATGAATAAATGAATGAATGAATGAATGAATGAATGAGTGAATGAATGAATGAACGAACGAATGAAAGAAGTATTGGACACATGGGGGCTATTTGAAAATAGATTCCTTATTCTTGTTAGTTTTGATGAGAGATCAACAACAAAAATATATATATGACAACATGAAGGACGAAAAAAAAAACACATTGACTAGAATTCATATTTTTAAATTAGATATTTCAAAATAGCATTCATATTTAATAAGGTTTCTAAGTAATGAATCATTAATGATAAAAACATCCCGTTATTATTAATGAAAATTGAGTGACATGTGACCATCAATAGCTCTCAACATAGGAACTATTCAATTCACAGTAGTTATCATAAGTATATAAAAGAAAAGAAGATGAGAACGAGATTCAATTTCCGTTATAAGCCAGATGTTCGATCTGGACATTCTGTCTTAACAGCTTATGTTAACAGCAACCCTGCTGTCTCGATTAGTTGAGTGATGATTGTACACGTTAACTGTCGATGAGGTCTGTCACGTATCAAGGTGTGTAAAGTCTAAGGTCAAATACATATACATTTATATCCATCCAGATATATTTTATACAAGGTTATCTTACTATCATTATGTCTTCTTCCGCGTATATATTACATCATATCGATCTTTTTATCTTGTTCATATATCTAACGGACGGAAACAACTATTGTTCACTATTAACAGGTGTGCTGTTCAATTTCCTTAGAGAAATCTGGCCACAAGAAAAAGTGAATGAGGGCATTCATACATATTAAGGTCATCTCAAATAAACTTTTGATTTGCCTATGCGCATGTGTATATGTATTTTGTATATATGATTGAAGATGACAAGAGTTTACAGACGCGGTCAATATAAAATATAAATTCTATTTTGAAAGTGGCAGCGACAATAATAGCAATAACATATAATGATATGCAAAGCAAATTCAAGCATAGTCTGTGTTCTATTTTTATTTTCAGTGAAAACATAGCATGCTTATACTTTTATCGTCACATCAATGGCATTGAAGATAATAAGAAAGAAAAAGAAAAGAGAGAATAAGCAATGTAACTAATCAGCCAAATGCACGAATTAAGTGAGCAGAAGATATGTTTTTTAACGAAACAAATACCAACTTAATGAAGTGGAAGAACAAGTGACAGTAAGAATTGGTACAATATCCAAAAAAAAACATATTTCTCGATTGATATAGGAAATGACATACGGCTAACCTTCGTTACAACAAGACAAATGAGATTGACAATGAGACAATGTGATGATAACAAGATTCTCCTGCTGCCACAATATCTAACTGAATTTAGTGACCGATTTATATAACAATAATTATTTAAGAAGGCAATGATCGAAAAAAGAAAGATTGAAATATTTCAAAAACATCTGCTTTTTATCCCCATACATTTTATATAATCATAAAATAATATAATATCAACGTTAAAGATTATATCAATTGTCAATTGTTAGGAAGTTGTAAGATTAAAAAAAGCAAATATCATTTAATTCTTTACTATATTTCTTATCTGAAGATCTATTTTATCGACATTCTTGACATTCGGTTCAAGAACACTTAGGCATATAATTCACTATGTCCTTGTCAAATACTTGACAAGTAATTTTCTTGAAATGAACATATATTCGATAAATACAGCGATAGAAAGTCAATTACTGTTTGCTTCTTTTTTTCTAGATGAATCAGACTTGATAAAAAAAAAAAGAAACCATCAGTTTCAATTAAGGAAATTGTCATATATATTTGAAATTTATTGTTAAGAAAAAAGGTCTTCATAATTCAATTGATTTAATGAATCATACTATAACGCAGTATGTTTGCTGATCATAACATAAAATGGATTGTTGATCGTCAGCATTGATTTCGAGAAGGACTTTTACTTCAATGAAATTTCCTATTTAATCTGTTAAATCAAGTTGCTTCATCTGTTTGATTTTAGTAATTTAGAGAAAAATATCAGAGTTTAGATCATCATTCAAACATAGAAATACATCATATGTTTGTTTTAGATTCATTAAATATTTTATGTTAAATATATTTCTGACATAGTAAGAGCTTAAAAAAGAAAAATATTTCACTTTAATTCATATCTCATGTCTTGAAAATCGTGACTATGACATAAGAAACAATATTTTGAGAATCGATAGTAAATCGAATTTTATCATCATGGATTGTAGAAACTGATTATATATCATTAATTAATTCAAGAACTATTCTAAGTCTGTAAAATTGAGAGTCAAATATACTCATTGGCATATGACACCAAAATAAAAATTTCGTTTCAGCATGTATATCATTGCAATGACGTTAACGAGATTGGGCAGTTTTAAAAAACGATCGAACTGAACTTTGTATACATATTCATTTATAGATTAAATGATTCTTTTGATTTTAATGAATAATTTTAGATATGTTTTGAGATGAAGTAATTTTTAAATTAAATTTTTTTTTGCTACTTT